TCAGCTGAAGAGCAGAAGATAAGCGGTATAAATTTGGAGAGACACGCAAATGTATGAAAGATTTACTTCCTCTCTTCTATACCAGGTCTTGAATACACCACATGTGGAAATAAAAAAAAAAGTGTAGGTGAATGATGTTTTCATTCCCTTTCCACAAAATTAAATCAAGGCTCCTGAGATTTCTTGAGACAAATTATAAGTTTAAATAAATGAAATAATAGATTTTAAATGATATGGAGATACTCCTATTGTGTCCAAACTTGTATGTACTGCAGAATAAACACATTCCATACTCTAGGGAGCTGGCAGCAAGGCAGAAAACTGAACTGGCTGGCTAGACAGGTTTGCTGTGGTCTCTTGCTTATTCTACAAAAAAAACCTGACATGAGTTCAGAAATTACAAAAGAACTTGTATACGCCAGCCCATTTTGCTGAAGCAAATGCTGATTAAGCATCAAAGTATAAAATGATCTGCAAGCAAATGTTCTTTTAAGAAGAGTGTGGTGACACCTTTGGGACCATCAACTTCAGGCACACAGACGTTTATCCACAATTGGCATATTTTTATCTGTCTATAGAAATATAAATATATATAGTTACAACTGAAAATATTGTAAACAAATTGAATTTGGGTTGCTCAGTGGTGACCGACCCAAATTCAATTTCAAAACATTGTTCTGGGACATGTATATTTGCCTTCATTCGTGAGACAAAAGATCTCTAAAAGTTCAACATTTGACAATTTAATGTAAAATTTAAAAATACCCTCTGAATATTTTTATACTTTCTTGGATAGATTGATTAACAAGTGTTAAAATATTGTCTATAGAGTTGTATTTTGAAAATCTTAAAAATAATTTATTATTTTCTTTCATTTGACCATTTTATATTGTAAATGTTTCTTTTTATTTCTCTAAAATAATGCTGTGAGATGAAGGCCTATGAAAAGAGAACTTAATTACAAATAGTGTCACATCAAATAGTAATCTGTTGTATTCCTTTTGTCTTCTGATTGTCTGAGTGGTATGCTTTCCTCAATTGGGAAAAGTTCATTTATTCAAGAAGCATTTAGCTTATGCTATTGCTGCCTGAATTTTTTTTATTTGCATTTATCATCTAATACGATATACTATTAAGCATTGTGTGTATGTCAACCATTATTCTATGCAAAAAGGATTATATATATATATATACTAGCTGCACCTGGCCACGCGTTGCTGTGGCTCAGTCTGGTAAAAGCGTGTGTTGCTTTTATGTCCAACAGATGGCGCTGTTTTTCAAAAAAGCATGTTTTTACCTGTCACAGATGTGACATCTATATAATATAGGTATATAAAAACACGTGCGTATTCGAATTCAATGCTTTGTCAAAATTTCAAAGCAATCGGTGAAGAACTTTCGGAGATTTAAGATTTTGAACAAACGAGCAGTGGTTCTTAACCTGGGCGATATCACCCCCCCCAGGGGGCAATTTTGTTTTTCAGGGGGGCGGTGGAACAGAAAAGGGCGACGCGGGGGCGAAGGAACAAAAAGGGGGTGATATGGGGGCGATTGAGAAGTTTTGGGGACACTTTTGAGCCTTCCCCTGCAGCTCCAAGCCTCCTCCGCCATTTGCAGAGAGAGACAGAGACAGAGAGAGGCACTTGTGCTTCTCTCTCTCTCTCTCTCTCTCTCTCTCTCTCTCTCTCTCTCTCTCATGCGGATTCACCTGGAAAAAGTGGGGGGGGAGGGAGAGGAAAGAGAGAGAGAGAGGGGAAAGAGAAAGAGAGAGGAAAGAGAGAGAGGAAGCACAAGTGCCTCTCTCTCACTCTCTCTCTCTCACTCTCTCTCACACACACACACACACACTGAGTGGGGGAAGAGGACTGGCAGACCAAGGGCAGAAAGAGGGAGAGAGAGGGAGGGAGGGAGAGAGAGAGACAGAGACAGACCCTTTTGACATCTAAAATGAAGATAACACTGAAGATATATAAATAAAAAAAGGTAAAAAAGGATATATGTAGTATTATCTTCATTTTAGATGTCAAAAGGGTTTTGCGGCTCCCAGTGTTTTGTTTTTGCTGGGAAACAGGTCCAAGTGGCTCTTTGAGTGCTTTGGGTTGCTTACCCCTGCTCTACCCATACAGTGGTGCGCCATTGACCAGAATGGGCAGTGATGGAGGGGGGAGCGCTTCTTTCGAAACATTGCATGCTGTTTTGTGTGTCTCTTTGTATTGTACTTTTTTAGCGTGCACTCCAGTTCGATATTATATTTTCTTTGTGTCTTTTTAATCCTTTTTACAGTGTGCGTGACTATATATACTTTCCTCGAATCTTAATTTAGTTTCAGAGTTGCGTCTTGAAATTCTTAGTTCCTGCATTGCGGTTTGTTCTTATGCCCTTTTTATATTTCTTTTTGCATCTTAAATTTCACTTGTAATTCAATCATTAAATGTTACTGTTTTTCTTTTCGGGCATTTCACTTTCTTGCAATTGAATTTTGTTTTCAGTGGTCATTACATTTAAGTGTCTTGAATAAATAAGATAATAATGAAATACATGTATCACGAAGTTTATAAAGTGACTGGTGGCATCAAATTTTTTCACACAGTTGAGATATGAGAAAAAGACTGGAAATAAATTATTTGCATCATATGTCCTGATGACAATTTTAAAGAAAACAAAAAAAGTGTTTGCATAAATTGAAGAATTATTTCCTATGTTGTGATTGAGAGGTTATGTTGGGGGAGGGGGGCAATGACAACTTCCTCATTGGCTCAAGGGGGCGATTCGTTCAAAAAGGTTAAGAACCACTGCTGTAAAGCATGGTATGTGCTTGGGCAAGTTTAGGCAATTTTAATTGATTAAGTAAATTGTGATTGAACAAACAGTGGTTCGGCATGAAGTGCAAAAGAAGTCTAAATAAAAAACAGACATGCCACATTTTGTTTTACTGCTTGTTTAAACCAGACTACACTTTAGTCTGAGCAGAGTCTAGTTTTTATTTTATTTGTATTCCACTTTTCAATTCTGATGAACAATTAACACAGCTGTCAAAATTAAAATACAAATCAACATAAGCAATTAAAAACAAGTTAAAATTAATATAGTTACTTTTAATAATAATTAAAACTTTTGACAATGAAAAGTTTGGTGGTATAACTTTTTTTTACAAATGCCAAGCAGTGGGGCGGAATACAACTTCTGACTGAGTGCATTCCAATCTTGGGAGTAACACAAGTGAAGGCTCACTTCTATTGTCAGAAAAACCTCAGATTTTAACAGCCAGATAAATGTAGACAGTCAAATTATCAACCGTTTAAGTCTGTCAAGGTTAGTAATTAAGATATAGTTTGTTTATTCATCTTTCTCTTCACACCATTTATATTGGATATCTTGGGAAAACTTTCTTACTTAATATCAGAGAGTATTTGCTTTCATGACAATTATTTTGAGTTAAAATATTTCATAGTTTAGTATACTTAACATTAAAAAAATCACTCATACCCAGGATTACTAAATATGGATCTCTGCCCTTCTTTACTTTAGGACTACTATTTTCCTTAAAATGGATTTTAATGTGGTTCTGGTGGGCAACCTGGTGCCCTTTAGATCTTCTGGACCACAATTCCCATAATTACTGCTGCTGCTGTGTTGGACAATGCAGTTAGGCAAACCTTTGAGGAAAAATTGTTGCATTAAGTCAATATTTCAAAGAATGAAATGTTGATGACATAGTAAATACTAACACAATTATCATTATTTTAATTATTAAAGGCAAATTGTCTCAATTGTCCTCTTTCAAAATTGAAATTTTAGCAACTGTAATTATGGATACAGAGTAATTGTACCAGGGGATATAAAGTACATTGAAAGGAGAGGGTGCATAGAGATTACAGTGAATATACTGTAGAACAGGGGAGTCAAACTCGCAACATCACGTGACGTGTCGCAACGTATCGCGACTTTTTCGCCATTGCCAGCAATGGGGTGGGCGCGGTTTCACTATGATGCATCTGGCAGTTTGACACCCCTGCTGTAGAATATACTGTAGTCACAATAAATGTTAAAAAGCATCTTGTTAAAAAGATGCTTTTCTGAAGAGATAGAAAAGTTATCTTCTAAAAGATAGAAATTGCTCCTGGGTTTAGTATTGCTGGAAAAACTAATCTTGGAAGGCAATTTCAAACTGCTCTTAATCTAGCATAAAAATAACTGTTTCTCATTGATAGATGTCGCCTAGCCATCATATTAAGGAAACTAGTTTTCTATTCTAACAATGAACAATGTTAGTTTGGTTGTGAACTCCAAACAACAATTCATAAACCACATTTGAGAGAGGCTATGGCAGGTGTAAAGTTAATTACATTCAGCAGTGTGCTAACTCAGCAGGTATTGTTGATCTTCTTAATATGTTTGGATAGTATTATCTGTACAACAGAGATTTATCTTCAGCAACTGGGTATATGTTTCTGGCCAAGCAAAGTTTGGAGAAATAATGACAAGTGAGGTAAATGAGAAGCTGTGGTTTTAAAACTGCAATATGCTTGAGATTTTTGCCTCATGCTCTCTTGTTACCTGTCCAAGAAATCTGACTCTTTTTTCTTTTCTGAGTCTTCTTTTTCCCCAGTGTTTATTTTGTACCTGAATAAGTCATTTGCATCAGTAGATAAAAAATTATTCTATTCTATTCTATTCTATTCTATTCTATTCTATTCTATTCTATTCTATTCTATTCTATTCTATTTTTCCATCCCATAGAATTAGTATTAGGAAAACTAATGCATCAGTAGATCAACTTTGGCTGAAATGCAAAGCAGGAAACATTGACAGCTACTTATTAGTAGCTCCATAATCTCTTAATGAGTTTTTCAGATTAAAAACATTGTTAAATACAATCAGGTTTGATTGANAGAATTAAATACGTGGGAACTATAACAAGGGATAATTCTTTGATAACATTGTTTTAAAAATCTATTTTTTTTCTGTAGGACCTCAGCTGAGTGCACAACTAGAAGGTTGGCTCTCTCAAGTACAGTCTACGAAAAGACCTGCTAGAGCCATTATTGCACCGTAAGTTTTTTCCCCTCTCCCTCCCACTCACTGAAGTGGTGAATGCTCCAAAAACTGAAAGTTTTTAAGAAGAAACTGGACAGCCATTTGTCTGAAATGGTATAGGGCTTCCTGCCTGAGCAGGGGGTTGGACTAGATGACCTCCAAGGTCCTTTCCAACATAATAATAATAATAATAATAATAATAATAATAATAATAATAATAATAATAATAATTAATAATAGGGCTAGCCCAGTGATGACGAAGCTTTTAGAGACCGAGTGCCCAAACTGCAACCCAAAACCCACTTATGCATCGTCCAGTGCTGGGTGGGTGTGGCCAATTGGCTGGGCGTGGCCCATTGGGAGGGTGTGGCTGCGGTAATAACGGCAGACTGGGTGGGACTAAAAAGTTCAATCAATCAATTCCAACTTTGCAAGATCTTTTTTTTCCCCCACAAGAAGTTGAAATTGACTGATTGAATTTTGTTTTTTTGTACACGGCGGCAGAGGCCTAAAGCGAAAAGGTTTTATAAAACCCAGCTGAAGGCCTAGGACTGGGGCGATGGCACGTGTGCCCACAGAGAGGGCTCTGAGTGCTGCCTCTGGCACCCGTGGCATAGGTTCGCCACCACTGGGCTATCCCAAGAATTCATATAAAGACGTTAGAAAAAGATACTACTCCCCTCAGATAACGAGAGAGAGAGCAAAATCTTCTTTATCTCAATTTGTATTGATTGGATAATAAGCTAGTCTTATCCCCTGACTTCTTGGTGGCAGTTTCTTACTGTTTATTGAGGGTTGACTTTGAGTTACAAGAACAGGTACACTTTAATTGCTTTGGTTTCATTGTGACAATTGGCTCTGGCTTACTCTGAATTCAGTCTGATAAGATATCAGTAGCAATTTGTTTATGGCTATGTGTGAGGGCAAGCTAGTTTGAATGGAAGACATAAGAATCAGTCTACCTCTGTCTTATTTTTAATTTCTTTTAGAATAGCTAACCATTTCATGAAACTAGGCATTTGGAAAGGGCAAATTAAATCTTTAATCTAAATTAAAGTATCTCCTACAGATGTCTAGCTTCAGTTTCTATCATATATTCAATGACAGACACTTTGGTAGTTCTTATTATTAAGAATCCTTTTCTTATGTTCATCCATATTCTTTTCTCAAAATGTTGTTTTTTGAGCCCAAATCACAGGAAATTAGACTTTATGAAAACCATCTACTGCTACTCAACTGAGAAGTGTTTAGAATACTTGAAATGTTAAGTCTTCTGAGTAATTTCTTGCCTACAATTTGAGAAAGCAGAATATTAATATCTTCAAATTACTTTAACCTTTAATTAAAATATACAGATGTAACTTTCTTTTTCTGTGCTCAGAATTAACAATCTTGATATGGCATACACACCAGGGTTGAGGATTTTTTCTTTCAACGAGTTTGTATTTTTTTCCAGTTAACTTTTCAAAATCTGTATACCTTTGGCATGACCAGACAGGCATTCCTTGTTTTTCCTGTTAGGAGGGACAAGGACAAACTCCAGGAACTCTTTTCAATATGTTTCAGTCAGCTTAAAACAGTAGCTCCCAAGTAGGCCTGATTTTACTTGCGAGTCCCTTTTTCTATAAAAGAATTACTTTTGAATGAATAATCATCACACTGGGTTGGGTCAGGAGGTCTTGGAGGCCAGATCTGATCATTACGTCATAGTTTTCTCACTGCTAGTACCCACCTTATTTTCTGCCACATAAGTAAGCTTTTCTCCTTAATTGTTAGTACTTAGCTTGGAGCACTCACCTGATACCTGTAGATTGGATATATCTGCTTATAAAACTCAGTTATATTTCTTTCATTGAGATTTTTCTACAGAGATTCAAAAAAAGCCTCAAAGAAAGTGTCTTTTGTTTTTGGCAGACATGCAGGATACACTTACTGTGGGTCTTGTGCAGCTCATGCATACAAACAAGTGGATCCTTCAATTACGTAAGTAACATCCAAGAAGATTCTTGTCTTAAGTGCAACCAGATGCAGTTTGTATAGATGCTGGCTTAAGACAGCAAAAAATTATTTAGGGTGGATTTGTCAGGAGAGGAAATCTGTTTTTCAGAGTTACAAGCACAACCAACTAGATCCTGAGGTCATGTAAACCATGTAGGGAACCTGTAGCATTTTTTTAATTTTCTAAAACCTGATTTTTGTGGATGGGGAATCATCTTGAATTAAATGGAGGGCAGAACTGGAGGTTGCAATGGAAAAAAGAATCTGAAAGATTTATTTTGTGTTCAGAAGAAACCTTTGTATTTTCAAAGACCAAATCTAAATCTGTCCCAATGCAGATTACTTTTTGCCTGGGATTGTGCTTGCCAAATTCTGCTATAAAACTCTTATGTGATCCAGATGCTATTTGATTCAATTTCCCACAATCAACCACATTGCAAGTATAACGTGGAAGTTAAACAAGAGAATCTATCAAAGATCAAATGATGTGATCATTTCCTTTTAGTCATGAAATGTGGTACTCATATATTTTTTCTTATTCATCTTCAGACGGCGAATCTTCATCCTTGGGCCTTCCCATCATGTGCCCCTCTCCAGATGTGCACTTTCCAGTGTGGACATATATAGAACTCCCCTATATGATTTGCGAATTGATCAGAAGGGTAACTGTACACAATTCATGCAATACACAAACAAAATAATTTCTTAGCAAATTTAGTGTTTTTTTTTGAGACTGTCTATTCTACATAGTTTATCTCTTAACTATTTGTATAAAAAGGCAGCTGTATTGATGTTGGATGTTTTGCAAAAAGTTTTAATAATACTTATTGTTTCTTTTATGTATTGGCTCAGTTTGCATAGAATTTTAACAAACAAAGACTGAATTCATAGAGGGTGCTGAGGAAAAAAACAAACCATGTTAAAACTTATTGGTGACTATCTTAGATATATTTACATATAAGTATAATTTAATATTAACCATAGTGCATGCCATATAGAACACAATTTACTACAACCTGCAGTTGTTTATTGATTGTATTCCCTTGCAGCTACTTCTCTATATCTTTGGTAACTGGCAGCTGTCAGTTACAAGATTTTATATTTTAAACAAAAATGCAGGAGCATATCGGTGATTTAGTCAATCATAGACCATCCATGTTTGGAATGAGCAAAGTCTTATCCTTCCATCAGTTCATTTAAAATAAGAACCCTGCATGGAATGATTAAATAAACCAGAGCAATGGAGATAATGTCAATGGAAGCGATTCTGCTTTGTTGCTACTTTTGTTTTTTGTCTCAGTTACTACATTGATTGATGATACTTAATTACACCAAATTAATGTGAAGTGGAAAAAGTAAAAATTATTATTCATAGCCACATGAAAACTATGTGCTGGGTTCAGTCAATTCACTAAGCTAATCAACAAAATGACAAGTAAATATGCTTCTTTTAAAAGTATATTTCTCTAAACGTTAACCACATTTTTCAGTTAGGAGACCTGCATTAAGCTGTTAGTTTAAATGACAATGTGAAAAACTCATCCATTTGGGAACAGGGCATTCTAAAGCATTGCAAAACATCCTGTTCCCACTCCAGATCATTCCAAATATCCTCCTTGACCATGTCATTCCAGGGGTGGTTGGTAGTTTCCAGGATATTATAAAGACTCTGGCCTAGAAGCTGATTGAAGTGATCCAGATGAAATGCTTATTAGGAATGCTATGTTTGGGATACCTAGAACTACTTCTGGTTCGTAAAATTTACTTCTAGAAATTGTTGAACCACCCCTTAAATGACATTTCCCAAATTGATTAATTTCATGCATACCTAGCTCTGACTAATGTTCTCAGTCTCACAACAACAAAGGAACTAGAGAGAAACAATGAAAAAAGTTTTCAGATTCTAAAAAAAATTACCAGCTATGTATGAAAAACGTCCCTTACTATAATTTATTTTATAAACGTTAAAAGCTGTTAAATGTGCCATTACTCCACAATTGTATTTTTATTTTATACAGTTAAAATCTTACATTAGTGTTCTCAAACTTATGTATGAGCAAATGCAAATCAAAGTAGGATATCGTCATATGTATTTCCCTGCTTTTTATGTGTAAACCTTCCCCTCAACAAAATACCAATTTTAATGTGTGTTTGTTTGGAGTGCCCTATTTCATTTATAGGCTAAGTGTATTCCTGTTGTGAGTCAGAGGTGGGGAACTTTTACCAGAACCATTGTGAATAGCATTCTTACTACAAGCTGTGATTCCTGTGATAATTAGGAATCATAAGTCTAACACATGAAGCAGAAAAGAGAAGTTTTTTATGCAGTTGTTTATCCATTTGTTCTTTAATATATTAATATATTTAAAACTTTTCAGTTTATGCAGATTTGTGGAAGACTGGAATGTTTGAGCGTATGTCTTTGCAAACAGATGAAGATGAGCACAGTATTGAAATGCACTTGCCTTACACTGCTAAAGCCATGGAAAGGTATTTGGATTATTTAAAACTGCAGATATTAAATTAGATGTATTTTGGAATAATAATAAACCCATTTTCTCAGTTATTTCACTAACGTTGAATACATCTGTGGCTTCAAAATCCTTAGGGCTTTGAGGTGCCAAACCAATTAAAATCAGAGGACTGTGAACTGAAACTTTTAGACACGTGGAGAGTCTATGTTAAAAGGGTAGAAAAGCATAGGATTGAGCAAAATAGAATTTCCAGGAAGAGAAGGCATGGGAACTTCTATCCTTTTAATAATGAAAATATAGTGTGCATTTTTAATTAAAGTGAGATCAAAAGGTTTGAAATCTGTAAATATTCTGCTCCTGACCTCTACTTAGCCCATTTATGTATTCTTTATTGAAAAGTTTTATAAAAGTTACAATATAAACCCCAAAACCCACCCACCCTAAACCCACCCTCTCCCTCCCCCACTTCCCAGAACTGAATACAGGGTTACAAATATAATAATCATAATCTAACTAACATTAACCAACTATATAAATAACCAAGTCCATAATGCGCTTTAACTCCCCTTTAACATAAATATAATAATAATTAAAACATAAACAAATTAGTATCCTAATTATTAAACAATAGAATATTGTTAAACAATACTAATACTAAAAATAATAATATCATATAATTAAATTATTATTATTATTATTATTATTATTAGCATTTATGTATTATTACCATTTATGTATTCTTTGAAATAATTTGGAATGATTGGCAAAAATAAAGGTCATAAACTATCCAAGTTGCGTAGTTCAGCCCTGGGGTCTCTTTTTCTTTTTAGACTAACAGGCAGATATGAAATGTTGAGAATCATGGCTACTTTCACAAAATGACTGTCATGAAATAGTGGCTAGCCATAGACTACTCATTTAATTTTTAATTTATCATGGGTCATCAAGTTATTGTCAGCATAGATAATATTCTCCAGAATGATCTGTGTCCAACATTTGAAACTGGCCTATTATTTTTGTTTTGTTTTATTTATGTAAAACGCTTATATAGTCAACCATCTTATAATCCTCTGGGTGGCTCCCAATCAGAGATTAAAACAGCATATAAAATCTTATTAAAACTATACAACTAAACAGATTAAAACATTAAAAACAATAAGGACCTGGCACAAGGTCAACCTTCTAATATGCAATTATCAAGTCTTATCCCAGTGCTTGGGGCGGGGGGGGAAGCCAGATCTTCCAATCTTTATGGAATACTAGGAGGGTAGAGGCCTGCCAAACATCAGGGCAGAGTGTTCCATAGGGTAGGGACTGCTACAGAAAAGGCCCACTTCCTAATTCAGGAATGGCAATATTTAGGAGAAGGGACTAGGAGCATGCCCACCTCATCTGACCTGCTGTCCTTAGGGAAACCAAGTCCTGCACATAACCTGGCCCTGTGCCATATAGGTCTTTAAAGATGATGACCAACACCTTGAATTGCACCCATAAAGAAAATGGAAGCCAGTGCGGTTTGCACAACAAAAATGTTACATGGACAAGCCTAGGGTCCCCCATATACGTATGTGCTGTTGCATTCTGAACTAGTTGAAGTTTCTGGGTGATAATTGGGTATCAGTAGCATACTGATGATATTAAACTCCATACCAACTGATGACCTCCCCTAGCAGTTTCATGCAGATGTGAGAAAGGAATAGCACGAGGCTTGAGCCCTGGGGCATCATACATTGCAAGTCTAGGGCTCGACTTCTACTAAACACCTGGACTGAAAATTTATGGAAGGTAAATTGGTAATGCTACTCATTGCTGCATACTATGTCCCTTGGATGTTTTCTGATTTCTCCTGCATCTTGCCTTTTTTTCCTGGCAGTTGGGCATTCTTTCTAGCAAATGTATTAATTTGCAACTACCAATCCCATTTTATTTTCTAATAATATATCTTGGATCTTTGTGTGGTTGAGGTTGAGGTTGGTGCTTTGTTTTGCACGGATTAATTTACATTTTTCCAAATTAAAAGAATTAGTGACCTAAAACCAGGTGTCCCATGAAGAGAAATATTGCCAGGCACCTTGACATCTGTGACTATCATATATGGGATCCCGGCAGAAATTAAAAATCTAAATGTTCTTTGTCATATGTGCCAAATTCTATTCATCGTCAGGAATGGTCAGACTTTTGCAATGACCTCACCAGGCCCTACAGAATTCTTTGAGGGCTGGACAAATGAATGAAGCTTATAGGTGAGAATTATACATATCATAATTATATGTCCCCTGTGCCTAATATGATCACATATGTTCATGTACAGTGCTATGTTATAATGAAGTTTCCTATGTCTTCGTTAAGATAAAATTTCATACACAATTGATAATATGAGTACATAGTAAATATGCAGAAAAGAATCTGGCTTGCTCATACATAACCTGTGCTTTTGTATATTTCAAACTTAAATCATGTTTTGAATTGCCTGTGAGGTACATAAATTTTTAAAAATTGGGAAATAG